ATAAATGAACTCTAAATATATGCATGTTTTCTATTTTTAAAAACAAAGCATCATCCGTTAAATAATTTTTGTTCCTAGATACTTTCCGGCTTTTCGTTGAATTAGTTAGATATCCAGCCCGTTTTAACCTTTCGTGAAGACCTTTTATCATCGCGTCTTGTATTAGATTATAGAAGGAATCTTGATCTATTTCAGTCCTACAAAATGGACATTCGAATAATTTACCCTCAAGTATAGACATCTTTTCCCACTCATTAATGGCATAATAGCTAACAGAAATACCACAACACGATAAAATAAGAAAATCGCCAGTTATTTGTCCAGTAATTGGGCAGGTAAAATTTTCCGCAATTATTTTTAATAAAAAATTTAAATTTTTATCTGATGAATTGGTCTTAGTTGCTGATTGTCCTTTGCTATTGTCCGTAATGAATTGATTTAGAAATTCATTATCTAAATTAAGCTTTTTCTTTACATCACGAATTAAGTTAATAAAGTTTTTCTGAGCATCCGTTGGTAACGCTTCGATAAAATTTTCTATTTCCACTTGAACCATGTCTTCAAACCAATCAGGTTCTCGATAAGATAATGATAAGAGTAATTCTAAGGATTTGAATTGGATGAAGCAACCTTGAGATTTTTGCAATGATTCTAAACCCAAGTAATAACAAAAAGCTAAACTGGAGGGTTGAATTGTTTTATAGCTTAAATCTTGGGCAAGATCTAATATTCCAAACCATAATATGTTTGATAGGGTAATTGGTTCTTCTCCGGTCCATAAATTGGAAAATTCATAAAATTCATTCCGATCATTCAGGATCGTTAAAACATCTGAATAGGTTGGCTTTTCGTAATTCTCATTAAAAGCATAATGCCAAAGAGATTCAAGAATATAAGCCTCGTTATAAAATTGTAAAATATTATAATCTCTTTCCTGAGCTAAAATTTTTAATGAATAATGTACAAACAAGAGTTCACGCCATATTTGATACCAGTAATTAATAGGATATTTAAGCCTAAAAACATCGGTAAATCTCGGTATAGTGCCGCTAACAAATAATTTACCAAACGTAGTTGGAATGTCTCTGAAACCATTAGATGTTTTAGGAATGTCCCTAACAAATGTTAAAAGGTCTTTCTTGACACATTTTAAAAATTCGTCAAAATATGTCTCATCATCACGCATAATGTATAAGGTGTCCCGCAAATGGAGTAATAAAAAATTAATATTAAAATTTGGAAAACTTTCATAATTATCATCAGTGTCGTAAATTCCCTTAGGCGTATAACTACGATCATTATCGTGACAAACTTTGCTGATTTGGTGGTGAATGTCGACAAAACTATTTAAATTACTATAAAGTTTTTCTCTTATTTCACGAGTTAATACAATAGAAGAATAGAACACTGTTTCCAAAACTGCAACCCAAGTTCGCAGGTGTAATTCTAAGTGTGGAATAGTATTGCCTATGCTGCATTCAAATGAAGAAGAATTGCTAAGCAATAAAAGCGCATCAACCAATAATTCTGCTGGAAATTTTACGTCAGGATCTTCAATTAGAAGTTTGAATCCAATTAAATTTGACGGTTCGCTAAAATCTTTCATAAAATCTTTAGCACGATCAATAATTGCCTCTTGATCTTCTATTTTAGCATTACGTTTGCTATGACAAGTAGAATTATTTGAAGATTCCTCCTTAATATTCAATAAAAAATTTAAATATTTAGTGACGGGTGTAAGAAATCAAAAAAAAAGAAATAAAAAACATTATTCTTACAGCTGAAAAACTTGAACTAGGAATTGCGTAGCTCTCTTCCATTAATAATTTCAAAAGAAAATTTTTTTTGAATTCTACAGTAATATTTAGATTACAAAGAGTTTTCAATGGGTAAATTTCATTGAATCTATGCGCTACATAGAAATAAACTTGGTGTATTGTTTACGGTGATACAAACATTTTAAAGAATATGCTAGGTAAGGCTAGTTGTGCGGCTAAAGATTTGACAATGAAACAAATACAAACATATGAACATTACAACATATCTAATATCTGTACGCACATACATATAATTTCCAATGAACACAAAATACAAATACTATCACAACGTGTTAAGGTTTCACCAATCAAAAAGTATGTTTACTGAATTCGATATTTTCTACAAATATAGCTAGTTCATTTTCTAAGAATTTCGATACGTACTGTTTAGGAAATGACTTTTAAGACTTTATATGCAATCGATTTACGATTAGTATAAGATATTCATGAAATTTGTTTTGTAGGAGTAAATGATCGGCTGACATGTGCCGCGTAGCGGCGCGTTTCAACTAGGGATCTGCAAGCCCGGCAAGTGCCCATGCCTAACAAAAGGCACAGGCATATCATAGGCACAGATGCAAAGACATCTGGCATAAAGTTAGTGGGCAC